CTGTGCGTGGTGGTGGGCATGTTGGGGCCACTGGGACCTGGATTTGTTTTTCTAAATAAAGTTGGAAAAGCAGCTGCTCTGCCTTGCGGTCTCCCAGGTCCCCCAGCCCATTGTGTCGACCATGTGTCCAGGCTCTAGCCCTGGCCCCGCAAAAGGCAGTCATAGGCTGGTGGCCGCCTGTCCGGGGCTTGCTGGGAGTCCTATTTCCAGCCTCCAGTGGGATATGGACCTGGAGCCTGTTCCTGCTGGTGTGGGTGGTCCTGCCCAGGTTGGCCAGACGGGGGTCTGACCACCTTGTCCATCTGGTTCTAGCCTTAAGGACAGGCCTTGCTGGCCAAAAAAGCTGTGTGTGTGTGTAACGACCAGTGGCTTAAAACAGCACCCAGCCGGCATCTCGGAGGCAGCGGTGCACAGGGCATCAGCTCTGCTTAGAATCTGCACCGAGCCCACCTCGGGGCTCCTCCAAGCTCACAGGGCTGGATTTCAACCCCTGTAGGGGGTGGTCTGCACCCTAAAGCAGCCCTCACTAGCCTCCTGGGGCTGACCTGGGCCAGTCCCTTAGAAGGGCTCACCCTGATGTCTGGGTTAACTCCCAGTCTAGGGTAATGGCCAATCACAGTAGTGAGATGCCATCTGTCTGCCCCCAAGGGAGGGGTGGTCTTTAACCAGCACACTGTGGGTGGGGAAGCTTATCCTGGTCATGAACTTAGGTTATTTGGACCAATGTCTCATTAAAAGTAAAAATGCCAGGGGCTGGCAGGTGGTTTGGTGGCTAGGGACGCTAGATTCCCACACGGTCGACAGTGGTTCGAGTCCCAGACCTGGCAACTTGCTTTTTCACTCTCTCTGGTCAAATTAAAATAAATATATTAAAAAAAAAAAAAAGTAAAAATGCTAAGTCCGCACCTGGGCAGCATTACACGTTGACAACATAGTGAATACCCAGAGCCAGCTGGTGCCATGGCATGGTTACAGTGGCTGGGTCCACACAGCTGACCAGCTTGAATCCCAGACCCAGTGGCTTGAAGACCATGAGGGGTACATGCATATACCCTGACGGAGGGAGAGGTGGAGATGGGATTGCAGCGTGGCGCCCCCGGGAAGGATGCGTCCTCGCTTTCCCTCTCTGGCAGCGCACGCCCTCTGGCTAACAGTGACACAGGGAGAGAACCCACGGGCCCGGCTGCTCCGGCACAGGCAGTGGGTACCACCGAGCTGCGGTCCCTGAGAGCACTGTGCTGGGAGCGTCTTTGTTCTGTTGAAGTCACCTGGTGTCCCCTATATGGCTCTAGGGTGGCGCTGATCACCAGAAGCACAGGCTTGATGAGAGGGTTGGGAATGGCAGTCCGTCCGATCTCGGAGGTTGAGCTCCGTCTCCAGGGGTCAGTGCTTTAATCGTGCCTGTGTGGTAAACCTCCACAGAAGCCCTCTGTGGGGGCGCAGCCCACCTGGGAAGGTTCTGGCTTGTGCCCGGAGACCTCCGTGAGTATGGGCACGGCCAGGCCACGGCACAGGGCTGGCTGAGGCTGGGGGTCTCAGCATCGATGCTCTTGGCACAGTGGTGACCCCAGCTCAGATCCCCAGCTGGTCAGCCTGGAACAAGCAGGGCAGTTTATCATGAGCAAAGGGAAAACATTTTGTAAAGGTCATGTTGGGAGGCGGCAGACGGTGTGGCTGTGGTGCCGGACTTCTATATGGGTAGCACTGGCTCAAGTCCTGGACCTGGTGGCTTGAAAATCACGCTGGTCCGTGTGTGCATGCCCCAAATCCGAAGAGAACGGAGAAGGGATTGCAGTGTGGCTATCCGTCCTGCGGGATGGTTTCTGACTTTCCCTCCATCTGTCTCTGTCTCTCTCCCTGGTGAGCACACCACTATATGGCAAAAACCTACAAAAAGACAAACACCACCCTGTCAGGCATGTTCTCTCTCTGGTCTCGCTCATGAAGGAAACAGGCCAGCAGGTGGCGTGGCGATTAAGGCGTTCCCACGTGGTTGACCCTGGTTCAAGTCAAACTTGTGGCATGCTTTCTCATTTTACCTCTCTCTCTCTCTCTCTCTCTCTCTCTGTCTCTGGTCAGATTAAAATATAACTGGAGCCAACAGGTGGCGTGGTGGTTACCGGTGCTGGACTCCCACATAGCCAAACATGGTTTGAGTCCCAGTCCTGGCAGCTTGCTTTCCCTCTTTGTCTTCACTCTTGCTCTGTTCCTCTCTGGTCAAATTTAAATAAATAAAGTTAAATAAAACAATTCTTTAAAATATAATGACAAATAAGATTAAATAATTCTTTCCAAAAAAAAGGGAACAGCAGTTGGCATAATGGCTGTCGCTGGACTCCCATGTAGTCAACCACGGTTCGAGGACCGGACCCGGTGGCTTAAATTCACACCAGGTGCATGTGCATGCGTGCCCAAGGTCACAAGAGGAGAACAAAGGAGAAGGAATTGCAGTATGGCCATCTCTCTTGGGGGGTGATTTCTAACTTTCAGTCTCTCTCTTTCTGATGAGATGTGCCCTATAGCAAAAACCTCTCAAAAAAAAAAAAAAAGAGGAGGAAAAAAACCTAGATACCCTTAGTGGGGCAGGGCCCATAGCTTAGTAGTTAAAGAAGCTAGATCCCACATGACCACAGTTGGAATCCCCTGTCCCAAAGGCTTAAAAAACACTAAGTATTTGTCCATGTGTGCCCCAATCCCAACAGAATGGAGAAATGGAGAAGGGATTGTGATGTGATCACACCTCTCTGCGGGGTGCTTTCTCCCTCTCTGCCCAACACACACCTTTGGCAATCAAAATTAAAAATCCAGGTGGGGACCAGCAGTTGGCGTAGTGGCTGGGTTGGCGGCGCTCCACAGGGTCGACTGCGGTTCGTGTCCCGGACCTGGTGGCTTGAGACTCACGCTGGGTGCATGTGCGTGTGTACCCAGGATCCCGAGGGGAGAACGGAGAAGGGATTGCAGCGTGGCCATCCCCCCTGGGAGGTGATTTCTTGCTTTCTGTCTCTCTGTCTTTCTCTGTGGCGGGCGCCAAGGCCATATAGAAAAACCCCCCCTCAAAAAAAAAAAAAAACAACCCGGGGGACCAGCAATTAGTGGAATGGCTATGTTGCTGGACTCCCATGTAGTTGACCGTGGTTCAAGTCCCGGATCTGGTGGCTTAAACTCACAATGGGCGCGCGCGTGTGTGTGTGTGTGCCCAAGATCCCAAGACGAGAATGGAAGAAAAGGGATTGTGGCATGGCCCTCCCCCCTGGGGGGTGATTTCTCGCTTTCTGTCTCTGTCTCTTTCTGGCGAGTGCATGTGCCCTATAGCAAAAAACTCTCAAAAAATATTATATAATAGAAACCCAAGGCTGGCAGGTCGTATGGTGGTTAAGGGCACTGGACTCCCACATGGCCAATTGCAGTTCAGGTCCTGGACCTGGTGGCTTGCTTTCTCACTTTCTCTCCCTCTCCCTAGCTCTGTTCCTCTCTGGTCACATTTATAAATAAATAAATAGGTAGGTAGGTAGGTAGATAGATAAATGTTAAATACAGTAATTCTTTTAAAAAAATAACCTGGGGGAACCAACAGTTAGCGTAATGGCTATGTCGCTGGACTCCCATGTAGTCTACCACGGTTCGAGTTCCGGACCCAGGGGCTTAAACTCACGCCAGGCGCGTGTGTGTGCGTGCCCAAGGTCCCGAGAGGAGAATGGAGGAGAAGGGATTGCGGCGTGACCATCCCCCCTGGGGGGTGCTTTCTCGCTTTCTGTCTCTATGTCTCTCTCTGTCTGTCTGGCGAGCACACACGCCCTACAGTGAAAATCTCTTTAAAAAAAAAAAAAAAAACCTGGGACCAGCAATTGGTGTAATGGCTATGTCGCTGGACTCCCATGTAGTCTACCACGGTTCGAGTTCCGGACCCAGGGGCTTAAACTCACGCCAGGCGCGTGTGTGTGCGTGCCCAAGGTCCCGAGAGGAGAATGGAGGAGAAGGGATTGCGGCGTGACCATCCCCCCTGGGGGGTGCTTTCTCGCTTTCTGTCTCTATGTCTCTCTCTGTCTGTCTGGCGAGCACACACGCCCTACAGTGAAAATCTCTTTAAAAAAAAAAAAAAAAATAAAAAGAATGAAAAAATAAAATTAAAAAATTAAAAAAAAAAAAAGACAAAGAAGTGGGGGCAGCTCCATGGCACAGTAGTTAATGCACTGCTCAAGAGAAGCTGGATCCCGCATGGTAGCTGAGGTTCAAATCCCTGGCCCAGTCAGCTAGAAACATGTCTGGCATGTGCACAAGAACCCAGGATCCAACAGACTGAAGGACTGGAGGAAGGAGGTGATGGCCTGACAAGACTCTTTAGAAGATGCTCGTCTTTCTCTCTCCCCTCATTCTCAGGTGTGTATACAGAGCAGTAGAACAAAAAGACAAAAGAAGTCTTGAACAGGACAGACTGCAGTTTAGATATACATGAAGGGAGAGTTAGCAAACTAGAAGAGAGACCAGAAGAAATTAACCAACAATACTACACAGAGAAACCAAAACAGAACATTGCTAACAAAATATGTCCCAAATCTCCAAATATTTAAGAATTAAACACATTCTCAAGTAACTTATGGGTTCAAGAATAAACTAGACGGGATGGCAGGTGGAGTGGTGGTTAAGGGTGCTAGACTCCCACATGGCCAACGGTTTGAGCCCCAAGCCTGGTGGCTTGCTTTCTCATTTTCTCTCTCTCTCTCTCATTCTTTCCCACTCTGGTCAAATTTTTAAAAATTAATAATAAATAAATAAATGTTAAATAAAGTAATTCTTTTTTTAAAAAAGAATAAACTAAAAAGAGAAGTATAAAATATTTTTAACTGAATGATACTAAAATCACACATATCAGAGTGGAATGCAGCTAAAGCAGTATGTACAGGGAAATTTTAGGTTTAAATGCTTAGGATAGAAAAGAAAAAGAGCTTAGAATAAATTTTCTAAGCTTCCACCTTACGAAATTAGAAAAAGAGAAATTTGGGACCAGTAGATGGCATAATGGTTACCTTGCTGGACTCCTACATAGTCGACCACAGTTCGAGTCCTGGACCCAG